AGCTAGAACCAATGTTTGTGTTTGGGAAACTGTAGCAGGAGAGAGTGTGGTCAGAAGCATAGAATCAACCATGAAACCACTGCATGGCTGCTGGATTCTAACCAGTGGCTGTTGAGTCACCCCGACTCACGGCAATCCCCATATATGTCAGAATAGCGCTGTGTTCCATAGAGTTTTCAATTGCTAATTTTCAGAAGGCGCCTCTGGTTGGACTTGAACCTCCAACCTTTTGGTTAGCAGCCAAGTGCGGTCACCATATGCACCACTCAGGGACTCTGATGGACTGTGGTGGGAGGGGGTGAGGTGGAGAAAACATGTAAGAAGAGAGCCACTACAGTCTCCCAGGGGAAGATGCTCTCCAAACCTGGGATGGTGATTTAGGGGGATGCACATATACTCTCTAAGCATCTCCTTTACTAATCAGTTAACAGACAAACCCAGCCTGCAAATCCCACTTCATTGTTTGCATAGGTTCTGCAAGCGCTCCATTCAGGGCAATGCGCTGCAGCAGAAGGCTATCCACATTGCCAATTGGTAAACACACGAGTATAAAATGGGCCTGTTTGGAAGTTAACTAAAATGAACAAATCCATCATTGTTCTAGGGATCCCATTGTGAGTCCGTCAGGAACCATCCCGGTATTATCATTGTTTCCCTTGAATCCTAAGATTCATTAAGATAATTATCCAGGATAATGACTCCGATGTCCAAAACATGAAATCTTTATCATCTAGTCATATTCCTTTTTCCTAAAAGAGCAGTGTTCCTCAGCAGTGGCTTTATTGACATTTTGGGCTAAATAAGTCTTTGTTGTGGGGGGCTGTCCTGTGCATTATAACAGCATCTCTGCCTGGTCTCTACCCAACAGTTATCAATAGCACCCTCTTCCTCAGTTGTGACATACAAAAACGTTTGCATACATTGCCAAATGTCCCCTGGGGAGCAAAATCACCACCAGTTGAGAACCACTGGGACAGAGGATGCAGGGACAACTGGGCTGATCTGGTCAGTGATTTTGAACAAAAGGGGCAGAGAGAGCATGAGCAACCTCTGAGTAGAACAGAGCACTGGGGGCTCCTCTGTGTGCAAAGAACATTGAGATACAGGAGAGTGAAAATAACCTTTACTTCAACAATCCGTCCCCAAATTGCCATTGCTGTGAACAGCCAGGTGCATTAAAGCAAAAGCCTTGGGCAAGCTGTGAGCTGGAATATTGGCAGTGACTGACTGTAAGCAACAACTACAGTCTCAAGAGAGAACAGCCCTTCCAAAGGTTGTAAACAACTGTGCTTAAATACTGTCTTAGTTATCTATTGCTGCTATGACAGAAATACCACAAGTGGATGGCTTTAACAAAGAAAAATTTATTCTCTCAGAGTCTAGTAGGCTACAAGTCCACATTCAGGGTGTCAGCTCCAGGGGAAGGCTTTGTCAGCTCTGGAGGAATATCCTTGTCATCAATCTTGCCCTGGATTAGGAGCCTCTCTGTGCAGGAAGCCAGGGTCCAAAGGACACACGCTGCTCCTGGTGCCTCTTTTTTGGTGGTGTGAGGTCCCCCACTCTCTGTTCACTTCCCTTTCCTTTTATCTCTAGTAAAATAAAAGGTGGTGCAGGCCACACCCCAGAGAAATTCCTTTTACATTGGATCAGGGATGTGACCTTAATAAGGGTGGTACAATCCCACCCTAATCCTCTTTAACATAATCTAATCTTGCCTCATTAACCACAGGCAGAGATTAGGATTTACAACACATAAGAAAATTATAATCACAAAATGGAGGACAACCACACAATACTGGGAATCATGGCCTAACCAAGTTGACACATATTTTAGGGGGACACAATTCAATCCATGACAAATACTGATGACCCAAACCCCTCATCTATAGGCACCACCATCAGCTATGCCATTTCTTAACAAGAAGCTGGGTCAGGAACCAGGAAGACAACAAGAATATGAGTCAGTACAATCAGAGTCACAGAGACCAGGCTTTAGGCTGGAGGCAGAGACTGGAGCCTCCATTTCAATTCACACTCACACACACACACACACACATACTCAAACACATTCACATACACACTCACACTCACATACACACTCACTCATACACATACACTCATTCACACACAAAGTCTAAAAGGAGCTTTGTCCTTACTCAAGTCCTGACTCTATGAAACAAGGATCGATCCCTGCAGAAGTGTGGCAGACAGAGAACAAGGAAGGAGAGTAAATATGGTTCCTTTTAATGGATTCAATAGGAAGGGTCAGTGTGATAGATTTGTTCTTGGGTTGAGTGGTGTAATAGTGAAGCGTGAACAACGCATACCAGTTTTTTCAAATTAAAAGAAAATATGCTCAAGTATCATTTACTCATCGTCATAATAAGGAATACTGTTTCCTTTTATTCAGATATAAGCACTAACGTGGTACCCTGTAAGCATGTGCTCACCTCTGTGCCTCTGTCAAGATGGGGCTCACTAACCTCCTAGGGGTAGGGTCGGGGGGAAATGAGAGAGGGAAGGATCTAGGGGTGGCTGTTTTCATCCACGTGAAGGCCAACCTTGATGGACTCAGATGTAATGCTATTTCCCAGCAAAAATGTCCCGCTGGCCTGAGGTGGGGAGCCAGTCATTTCTCAGTAGAGTCTTAAAAAGACAAATCCCTATGAAGATCCAAAATCAGAAATACACCACAGGCGTCCAGAGGCCCCTGCTTCCCCACCCTTCCCGTCTTGTCACATCTTCTTGCCTTCCTTATAAAACAATGTAAACGGCTCAGTTCCTTCTCCTGAGGAAAAAGGGTAGGTAACGAAACACCTTACTCTTAAGATGCCTTTATGTTTATGGTGTTAGGGAAGCTGAGTGGAGTTCTAATTCAGTCTTTGTTCTCTACACTGAGAATCATTTTAATTGAGTAGCATGACGCACCACAATGTGTCATTTCCCCTTAAAATAGAAACTACAAATAAAACATTTATTGTTGGGGCCTTGGGATGAGAACTCAGGCATTTTAGTGAGGCTCCTGTGACAGTTTAGTTTTTCCTACTGATAAATGTGTAGTCTGTGGTGGTCCTGCAAATGCAGCTGAGAACACAATAGGCCTATCAACTGGAATGCCTTGCTCTTCTCTCTTATCTGTGAATGTTGTTGAGTATCATGGGCAGGTCCCTTAGTCTTGGTTTGCCACTGTCCTCACCCCCACATCTAGTCCCAGGGTGGTGCAGTCAACATGCTCTGCCACTAACCAAAAGGATCTGCCCAGAGGTGCCTCGAAAGAAAGGCCTGGCAGTCCTTCCAAATTCACTTCTGAAAAATCAGCCATTGAAAAACCCCTATGGGGCAGTGGTACCATGACACATGTAGGGTCTCTATGAGTTGGAGTTAACTGGAGGGCAACTGCTTAACTGGTCATTCCCACATCTGGAGGTGTATTTTTTTGTTTTTGCTCCCTCTTAGGTGGGTGCAAGGCCATTATGATCAATGAGCATTCCTAATCCTATCCAGACTCCATCTTTCCCACTTTTTAGGATGTAGCTCTCCCACTTAAGTGCTCAGCCCCTATCTGGTGACAGGAAGCATTTTCAAGCGTTCTCAGTGGAAAGCAGATAGTACTCATTATCATGTTTTAAAGCCTACTCTCTCAGCATTAGCCCTACTCTAGCCTGGCTCTGCTGTACTCCAGAACGCCCTCGTGGTCCCCACTGGAGATGGCTAAAGCTCACATCCTGGAAGCTTCTGTTCTGTGAGGGAAGGATGCCTCTGTCATCTTTTTCTGGAGTCCAGGGCTCCTTCTGGCCCCAGGACCCCAAGCCCCACCAGAGCCTGCTGTTAGGGTTCCCACAGTCAGCCCTGACGCCAAGCCTTCACGTCCCTCTCAAGGGAGTCCCGGGAGGAAATTAATGATGGTGGTGTATTTCACAGCTAAATGTTAAAATAGCAATCAGTGGAACTATTTCCCCCTGAAGAGAGAGTCTAATGTGCTGCGTTGAATCAAAGTCTTGCTCAGTGAGCCAAGTCATGACATCCTTCCAAGCCAAGGCACCCCAGGGACTCTTTCACGCACACTTTCAATCTTCTTTGCTCCCTGGGGCAGCCCCATCAGGGGTGCTGTTTCTTAGACTGGCCTCGTAACTACCTCTCAGGGATGTTGGGGGTCAGGGTGCTTAGAGGCAGTGCTTTAGAATATTATCAGTGGAAACAAAGGAGAAGGCGGGAGGAACAGTTCCTCCTCTTCTCAGAATGCAGGCAGGGTGAGTAGCTTTCCCAAACCCATTCCCCGTGTTCACCATGGAGCAACGTGCATGTTCTCTTTCCAGACAAAGCTCAATCACCTGAAGGATATGGAAGCAAAGCAGGGAAAATCTAGCAACTTAAAACCCAGATAATCCTGAAAGATCTTTAGTCATTCATTGTAACCCTAGTCCTGTGCCTCTTCCTCTAGTCATTAAAAAAGGTGGGGTTGGAAAATAGATATTCTCTGGGAATCTAAATGACTAATTTGAGCTTTCATTTAGTTTTACTTCCTCTTTCCATATGTAACACAGCCGAAAGATGATATACAGAAATACAAAGAAGAAAAATAAAGGCGCCTGGGTTGTTCCATAATTTTCATCATCACGACCTGAGAAATAGAGAGCTGGCTGGATTATTGAACTAGTACTGTTTTCTTTGCAGGCTGAATTTAACTGCACATGTTAGTCCAGCTCTGACCAGAATCACATTCAAAAAGTTAATACTTCTGTGGCTCTGAAAAAGTATTTTAAATGACTTCCACTCCATGACACCAGAACTCATTATCAGGCAGGAATGAGGTCCACAGGGTCCGGTGTTTGGTATAAAGGGTGACTCCACTGTCATCTTTCATTCCCTACTGGATTAGCCTAAAGATATTAAGATAATTCTTGAAATGGGCAAATGAAAGGCTTAAGCCGTGCTCAAAATGACAGGATTCTGAGCATTTTCCAGCACGAATTAATAGTAACTACGGCTTTGTCTCCCAGCCTGGACTCTTTTCTGTATGGTCTTCACACCCTCTTCAAAGGTGACTTTAGGATAACAGCCCGAGATGAGTGGGTATTCGCGGACATGGACCTGCTGCACAAAGTTGTCGCTCCAGCTATCAGGATGTCCCTGAAGCTTCACCAGGTAAAAGTCCATTTCAAAATAAAATCTAAGCCTGCAATTCTAAGGGGAGAGGGGGGAAATGACCTTTGAAACATGCAATCACCTTTTTCTGAATGGGATTTGTGAGTGCGTTTATTACTTAGGAAACTAAGCATTGAGGCCATCTGGATATTCTTGCCATGGGCTAGTCGTTATTTGACCTCAAGGGCAACTCTTCCAGTTGCCATTGATCCAACTCCGATGCATGGTGACTCCAAGTGTCTCAGAGTAGAGCTGAGCTCCATAAGGTTTTCAATGGCTAATTTTTCAGTAGATCACCAGGCCTTTCTTCTGTGGTGCCTCTGGGTGAACTTGAATGTTCAGCCTTTCAGTTAGCCACTGAACATGTTAACTGTTTGCACCACCCAGTAACTCCTAGGAGGTTGTAATATTCCACTTAAGAGCTGTTGGGAGGTGGTAATATTCCACAAGGAAGGAAGAAGGATGTTGGCCAGAGAAAAGTGCAGCAACTACGCAAACATCATAGGCAACCCTAGCCACAAAGCTAAGCACTTTTCCTCGGCACTCTCCCTAGGTTAGGGCAATGAGTGAGGAGGTGCCCCTGCGTGCAGTTCAGGATTGAGAAAGAAAATAGGAGTGAGAGTAGGGTTGTGGAAGTGGACTTAGCTTTGAAGGCCATTGGCCTAGCCACTGTCTGTAGGCTACTGAGGATCAGCCCTTCTGATCCTCACTGAGCCCACACTGGACTCCATGTGTTCACCAGGACCAATTCACCTGCCCTGATGAGTATGAAGACCCAGTGGTCCTCTACGAGACCATCCAGTCCTTTGAGAGAAAAGTGGTGATCTGCCATGAGGGTGACCCGGCCTGGAGGAACGCAGTGCTGTCCAACAGGGAGGAGCTCCTCACCCTGCGGCACGTGGTGGATGAGGGCACTGACGAGTACAAGGTCATCATGCTCCATAAAAACTTCCTGAGCTTCAAGGTCATCAAGGTACAGCATCCACCCTGCCAGGTTTCCATGTGGCAGACCCCTCTCATTTGTATTTGAGAAGCAATGGGAGGGTGGCTGGCACCAGCATGTGAGTCCCTGTGCCATCACCTCTGATCAGAGAGACAGTCCCCAGGGGAGCGTTGGCCAGCAAGCAGAGCCAGGGCAAGGAGCCAGGCTCGGTGTGGGACTCCCCTGCCAGGGCCATTTCCTACTCAGTAAATGAGCATGAAGGTGAGGACTTTGACAAGTTCTCGTAGAAGCACATTAGATGAGGATCAAGACTCCGCTTATTTTTAGACTCTTAGAGAAAGTTCACACCTTGCTCTAATAGCCCATTCCTGAAGTCAGGGCCTCATTGCCAATGATTCTTCTTTTCCTATAACTTCAGACTACTGGGCTAACACAAAATCTGTCTTTCCATTGGTTCTCAGGTTACCCATTTGAAAGTGGCATCATTCCCGTCTCCTAGGGCTGCCACTCCGCCTTGACTGGACAGTGCTTTAGGTCAAAGTGCCGCGGTCGTAGAGGTTCAGTCCAGAGCCCTGCCCACTCACTGCAGGGGACACCGGACAGACTAGAAACCGTGGGCCATCTGCTTGTGTTCCCTGTTTCTTACCTGCCCCACAGGTCAATAAAGAATGTGTCCGTGGTCTCTGGGCTGGGCAGCAGCAGGAGCTCATATTCCTTCGCAACCGCAACCCAGAGCGCGGCAGCATCCAGAACAACAAGCAGGTCCTGCGAAACCTGATCAACTCCTCCTGCGACCAGCCCCTGGGCTACCCCATGTACGTTTCCCCCCTCACCACATCCTATCTCGGGACGCACAGGCAGCTGAAGAACGTCTGGGGCAGGCCTGTTAGCTTGGACAGCATTCAGACGTGGTTCCAAACCAAGTGGTTAAGGTAGGCCTTTATCTAGGTGCCATGGCTGAGTATGGAGGTGGGCTGGGGAGAGCTCTTATATTTCCTATTGGAATTCACTGCTGATCATTATTTTCTCATATGATTAAACTGCTGTCCCCAAGCAGCATCTAGCAGACTGTTCTTTTTTTTCAACAAGCAGTCTCAGATTATGAATCCATGGGAAATCTCATACGATGAGCATCCATTTCCCTACCTACACAGCTGCGAATCTGGCATGGGTCATTCCAGAGCCGCAGGGTGAGGGGTCTTTGGGAGTGAATGCTGGACATCTGTTACTGAGAACCAGGCCTGAACTCCCTCAGCACGCAGCTCTCACACCACCATGTCTGCTCACCTGGTTTTAAGGATTAGGCTCTGGTTAGTTGGAATGAATTCTAAGGTGTTTTGCCTGAATCTGGCTGAGCTTCTTCTCAGGCCTCAGAATCAAAGGGTCTGGTGGGAGGTTGATGCTGAAACAGATTCATTCCCATGCAGTTTATTCATTTATAAGGTTTGGGGAACAAAAGCCTCTCTCCCCTCCCACAGCCCAGGTGTGCTGCTCACCTGTAGAGCAGGGTCATGTTCTGATTTAGACAGCACGTGGACAGCATTAGAAATGTTTGGCAGGGACACTACAGGGGAAGTCAGCACAACTGGACTAAACTAAAGCTAAGAAGTTTCCTGACTACAGTCAAACTCTTTGAGGGACAGAGTAGCAGGGGCAGGGGTCTGGGGATCATGCTTTCAGGGGACATCTAGGTCAATTGGCATAACAAAGCTTATTAAGAAAATGTTCTGCATCCTACTTTGGTGAGTGGCATCTGGGGTCTTAAAAGC